TATCAAATGGGAGTTCATAAACTTTGCTGTGCTTCAAATGCCTATTGTTGTTGTTGTTGTTGTTGTTTGCCATCAAGTCGGCCCCGACTCATAGTGACCCCTCCTTGGGTTTCCGAGGCAGTATCACTACGGAAGTAGGATTGCCCAACCTTCCTTCCGAGGAGTGGCTATATCCACTAAATGAGTATCATACCAGGAGTTTAAATAAAGACTCAGTTACCACTGATAAAAGGGGAAGAGAAAATCTATGGTAGAGCTGTTGTCTCTATCAGTGGTAGGAAGAACTCACCAAGAACTTACATATGAGGAACTCTACCGCTCTTGGAAAACTAAACAATGAATCAACACACAAAGGGCCGATGCAAAGACAAGAGACACATCAAGTTGGAAAGAAGTTTCTGGGCAGAGGTAGGCAAATGTGCAGCACAGAAAAATGGAGCGCCCCAGAAGCCAGTGCTGGCAGTGGCAGGCTGACTCATGAACTCAATCTGCATGGAAATGATGCATCTCCTGTGGAAAAGGCATCACACTTTCATGTGGAGGAATTCTTGAACTCTCTCCTCTTGCTAATTCTTCACACTCACCAGTGCAGTTTTCTAATAATTTAATTGTCTAAGTGGTTTGCCATAAGATTTCTATCCACCTATACTTAACATTTCTTGTTGTAGATTAATTTTACACTTGCGTAAATTAAATTTACCTCCCCCCGAAAAAAAAAGACTTGGATAGTCTGAGTCTGTCTTGAGGACAAGCCAAGTCAGGCTGCAGCACTTGCAAGAGCAAGGACAAACCCCAGAAGCAGGGCATTCATCATGGCAAGTGGCCTGCAGACAGGGGGCTCAGGGGAGCAGTCAACCAGTTGGCCTCTTCAGCCCACCACCTCTGCTCTGCCATTCAGATTTCCAAATGCACCAGCTTTAAAAATCAGTGTCCTTACTTTAAAAAAATGTATTAATATGCCATTTAAAATCTGGAAACATTGTCCAAGAATATTCTATAAATAAATGCTTTTCAAATTGGAAGTCCCAGACTCTTTTGTGGGTAGTAAATGCATTAAGCTGCAAATAGCATTTTTGAAAAGCAGTAAGATAGGACAGGGTAGGAAAAGATGCAATGGAATAGAAAGGATACTACATCAAATGTTAGTGAAGATAAGTATTGGTCTATGAAACTTTCTATTCGGTTGTATATACTGTTTTACATGTATTTTGGTAAAACATATGTGTATGTATATAAATATATACACATACATACATATTTAAAGACAATTAACACAACTATTACCATTTTCACAACTCATACAGCCACTCATTCTGTCTTCTGAATTTCTAAGTACATACCTCAATGTTTTTTTTAATAAAATCCTGGTTATGTTTACCCCTGAGCTCAATATTTTCTGGTTTTGAAGAAGTTTTCATATCTGATTTGATCAATGACTCATTTCCTTCCACATCATATGTCAAACCTAATATTGAAAAAGTTCAGAATGTTTTCATAACTATAATTGTCAATTATGCTAAAAATTCATGTAAGGCAATACCAAAATATATAAGAAATAAAACACACACAGAAGAACTTCTGAATTCCCTATCCTGAAATCTAATATAGATGGAGATTTAACTTAAAAAGATAAATGTGCTACCATAACTTCCAATGACATTCTCATAAAACTTCTTTCCTTATTATTATTAATAATCAAACTCCTTGATGTTGATTCCTTGGAAAAATAGGAAAAGAACTTCAAGTGATACATGTGAATTAGAAATCTCTGATGCTATGGGGATTTTAAAACATATTTTATTATATGAAACAAAATTTCCCTAAAGACTGGAGTCCTTCCCTGCTATTCTATTAATTTGCCATCATTCTTCCTGAACAACAAACTTTTTGTTCAAACTTGTCTTTTAAGCAAGGACTAGGATAAACATCTTGGATGGTTACACCCCATTTACACAATGCCCTGGAGCCCCACTCAGTTTGTCAGTTTTTCTCAACCTTTGGTAAGAGGTTTGAGTAAACCTCTGAGATGTTCAGTTCCTGAGTGCTCAAATCACAGGTAAGAAAACGGCTTGTGGCCTCTTACTCCTTTTATTAAATATCCTGTTTCTATCCTTGTCACATTTAAAGCTTTTAAAACAAGACTTTCTGAACTCTTCATTAAAGCTCCAAATAAATGCATAAACAGGAAGAGTCTTCTTAAATGATAAATGGAGTCCACTCTACATAACAGAATACATTGCCACATTAAAGTCCAAAAGGGAAAAAACACCAGGCTGTAGCTAATCCAAACAAGGTTTACTTAAAAGTTATCTTTGTTCTAAAGTTATATTTGTTTTACTTCAATAAAAAGAATTAAGAGGGCTATTCCATTGGTATATTTATTGATAATTAATTACCAAAGATTTAATGCATATTTAGTCATTAAGGAATAAATTTTTATGACAGTATTTGGCAAGGAAAAGGGTAAATCTCTGAATTTGAATTCTTTTCAAATACTATAAAAAGTTTTTTTTTTACTCAGATTTAAGTTCCTTGTTGCTGTTGTTGTTAGGTGCCCTCGAATCATCTCCAACTCATAGCGACCCTATGTACAGCAGAATGAAACACTGCCTGGTCCTGTGCCAGCTCCACAACCCTTGCTATACCTGAGTCCATTGTTGTACCCACTGTGTCAAGCCATCTTGTGAGGGCCTTCTCCTCTTTCACTGACCCTCCACTTTACCAAGCATGATATCCTTCTCCACGGAATGGTCCCTTCTTACAAAATGTCCAAAGTAAGTGAGAGGAAGTCTGGTCATTCTCGCTTCCAAGGAGCATTCCGGCTGCACTACTTCCAGGACAGATTTGTTAGTTCTTTTAGCAGTCCATGGTACTTTTAGCATTCTTCACCAGCATCACAACTCAAAAGCATCACTCTTTTATGGTCTTCCTTATTCATTATCCAGTTCTCACTCACTGAGGTGACTAAAAATACCATGGCTTGTGTCAGGCACACTTTAGTCCTTAAGGAGACATCTTTGCTCTTCAGAGCTTGAAAGAGGTCTTTTGCAGCCAATTTGCCAATGCTATACGTCATCAGATATCTTGATTGCTGCTTCCATTGGTGTTGAATGTAGAACCAAATAATATGAAGTCTTTGACAACTTCAATCTTTTCTCCATTTATCATGATGCTGCTTATAGGTCCAGTTGTGAAGATTTTTGTTTTCTTTATATTGAGGTGTAATCCATACTGCATACTGTAGTCTTCAATCTTCATCAGTAAGTGCTTCAAGTCATCTTCACTTTCAGCAAGCAAGGTTGTGTCGTCTGCATATTGCAAGTTGTTAATGAGTCTTCCTCCAATCCTGATGCCACAACTCTTCTTCATATAGTCCAGTTTCGTGTATTATTTGGTCAGCATATAGATAGAACAAGTATGGTGAAAGGGAGAGTAGAACCCTGACACACTCCATTCTTGATTTTAAGCCATGCAGTGTCCCATTGTTCTGTTCGGATGACAGCCTCCTGGTCCATGTGCAGGTTCCTCATGAGTACAATCAAGTGTTCTGGAATTCCCATTCTTCTCAATGTTATCCATAATTTGTTATGATCCACACAATCAAATGCTTTTGCACAGTCAATAAAACACAAGTAATCATCTTTCTGGTATTCTTTGCTTTCAGCCAAGATCCATCTGACATCAGCAATGATATCCCTTGTTCTATGTCCTCTTCTGAATCCAACTTGCATTTCTGGAAGCTCCCTGTCAATATACTGCTATAACTATTCTTGAATTATCTTCAGTAAGATTTTACTTGCGTGCAACATTAACAATATTGTTAGATAATTTCCACATTCTGTGGGATCACCTTTCTTTGGAATGGGTACAAATATGGATCTCTTCCAGTCAGTTGGCCAGGTAGCTATCTTCCAAATCTCCTGGCATAGCCAAGTGAGTGCCTCCAGTGCAACATCCATTAGTTGAAACATTTCAATGGGCATTCCATCAATTCCTGGAGCCTTGTTTTTCGCCACTTCCTTCAGTGCAGTTTCAACTTCTTCCTTCAATACCATTGGCTCTTGATTCTCCTGAAATGGATGAACATTGACCAATTCTTTTTGGTACAGTGACTCTGTGTATTCCTTCCATCTTCTTTTGATGGTTCCTGCATCATTCAATCTTTTGCCCATAGAATCTTTCAGTATCACAACTCGAGGCTTGAATTTTTTCTTAACTTCTTTCAGCTTGAGAAATGCCAAGCGTGTTCTTCCCTCTTGGTTTTCTAACTCCAGGTCTTTGCACATTTTGTTATATTATAAAATTTTTTTTACTCAAATTTAAGTTTCTAGGAAAAATAAATCTGTGCTTTATAATTGGAGTTTTTATATTTTAATCATCTACCTACTGCCATCGAGTCAATTCTGACTCATAGTGACCCCTAGTGGTTTCCAAGGCTATAAATCTTTACAGAAGCAGACTGCCACATCTTTCTTCCACAGAGCAGCAGGTAGGTTCAAACCACCAACCTTCTGGTTACCAGCCAAATGCTTTAACATCACACCACCAAAGTTCCTTAGTTAGTTAGTTATTAATCAACCATACATAATTAATTGTTTTTAAAATCAAATATCAATAGTTAAAGTATGAGTTACTTTTTTTGATGAGTGGCTACCTTAGACATTATTAGGATATAACTTTTTCCCATAATTCAAGTTGCATATAGATTTTTTAAGCTGAAATATGAGGCTTACCCATTCAGTGGCTTACCCACCCAACTCACATATTCTTAAACATTTGCTATTGCTGTTGTTGTTAGGTGCCATCAAATCAGTTCCAACTCACAGCAATCCTATGTAAAACAGAATGAAACACTGCCCAGTCCTGCACCAGCCTCACAATTGTTTCCATGCTTGAGCCCATCATTGCAGCCACTGTGTCACTTCATATCGTTGAGGGTTTTCCCCTCTTTCACAGACCCTCTACTTTACTAAGCATGATATCCTTCTCCAGGGACTGGTCCCTTCTGACAACACAACCAAAGAATATGAGACAAAGTCTAGCCACCCTCCCTTCCAAGGAGCACTCTGGTTATACTTCCTCCAAGATATATTTGTTTGTTCTTCTGGCAGTCCATGGCATTTTCAATATTCTTTGCCAGTACCATAGTTCAAATGCATCAATTGTTCTTCATTCTTCCTTATTCTTCGTCCACCTTTCACATGCATATGAGGCTACTGGAAATACTATGGCTTGCATTAGGCACACCTTAGTCTTCAAAGTGACACCTTTGCTCTTTAGCACATTAAAAAGGTCTTTTGCAACAGATTTGCCCAGTGTAATACATGGTCTGATTTTTTGACTGCTGCTTCCATGGACATTGATTGTGGTTCCAAGTAAAATGAAACCCCCAACAATTTCAATCTTTCCTCCATTTGTCACGATGTAGTCCATTGTTCCAGTTGTAAGGATGTTTGTTTTCTTTATGTTGTGGTGTAACCCTTTTTGAAGGCTGTAGTCTTTGATTTCCATCAGTAAATGCTTCAAGTCTTCTTCACTTTCAGACAAGCAATGTTGTATCATCTGCATATCGCAGGTTGCTAATGATTCTTCCTCCAATCCTAATGCTGTGTTCTTTTTCATATAGTCCAGCTTCTTGGATTATTTGCTCAGCATACAGATTGAATAAGTATGATGAAAGGATACAACCCTGATACACACATTTCCTGTTTTTAAACCATGCAGTATCCCCTTGTTCTGTTTGAATGACTACCTCTTGGTCTATGTACAGGTTTCTCATGAGCACATTTAAGTGTTCTGGAATTCTCCTTCTTCACAATGATATCCAAAATTCATTATGATCTGCATAACTGAATGCCTTTGCATAGCCAGTAAAGCACAGGTAACATCTTTCTGGTTTTCTTTGCTTTCAACCAAGATCCATCTGATATTAGCCATGATATCCCTCATTCCACATCCTCTTCTGAATCCAGCTTGAATTTCCAGCAGTGCCTTGTCAATATAATGCTGTAACTGTTTTTAATTATCTTTAGCGTATTTTACTTGCCTGTGATATTAATAATACTGTTTGATAATTTCCACATTCTGTTAGATCACCTTTCAAATGTAGAGCTCTTCTAGTTGGTTGACCAGGTAGCTGTCTTCCAAATTTCTTGGTATGAAAGACTGAGTGTCTCCAGTGCTGCATCAGTTTGTTACAACATCTCAATGGTCACTCCATCAATTCCTGAAGCCTTGTTTTTCACCAATTCCTTCAGTGTAGCTTGGCCTTTCTCCTTCAGTACCATCCGCTCTTTATCATATGCTACCTCCTGAAATTGTTGAGTCTTAATCAATTCTTTTCAGTACAGTGACTCTGTGTATTCATACCCATAGAATCCTTCAATATTGCAACTCAACGCTTAAATTTTTTCTTCAGTTCTTTCAGCTTGAGAAACGTCAAGCATGTTATTCCCTTTTCATTTTTAGGTCTTTACACATTCCATTAATATTTTCATTAACATAACTCAAATTAAATGCAGCTATGTCTAAGACACTTGCCTGCTAACCAGACGGCTGGCGGTTCAAATCCACCAGCCACTCCTCGGAAGGAAGGTTGGGCAATCCTACTTCTGTAGTGATACTGCCTCGGAAACCCAAGGAGGGGTCGCTATGAGTCGGGGCCGACTCGACAGCACATAACAACAACAACAACAATGTCTACATTAGGAGCTATGGTAGCATAATGCCTAAGGCACTTGACTGCTAACCAGAAGGCTGGTGGTTCAAACCCACCAGCCACTCCTCAGAAGGAAGATGGGGCAATCTACTTCTGTAGTGATACTGCCTTGGAAACTCAAGGAGGGGTCGCTATGAGTCGGGTCTGACTCAACGGCACATAACAACAAGATGTCTACATTTGTAAAAAATGTATTTAAAATATACTTGTACTAAATTATAGAGAAAAAAGCATTGGATTACCTGATAAGAATTCTCTCACTAGCAATGTCCCTTTTCTCCCAATCTGATGATGATGTAGCAGGAGGTTGCTAGGTTCAATGAATCGGTTAGACCAGGGATAAGCAAAATCTAGGATTTTGGAATTAAGTCTCCCTCTCAATGACTAACCATAGCATATGCTCTTGGGAAACAAAGAAAGCTATCTACAGCCAGCATTCTTTCTATAATTAATTCTATTTTTTGCTTAAGTCAGGTTTTTCTTACTTGCAACCAGATTTTAAAACTCTTTATTACGTAAAAATTCAAACATCCAAAGTTAGACAGAATGTTGTAATGAATTCCCAACACTTCAGCAACAATCAATTCATGGTCAATCCTATTTTATCTAGAACCCCACTCACTCCCACCCACCTCTAGATAAATGATATCAAATCACTTCAGCTGTGAATATTTCTGTACACTGCTAGTATTTCCTTATGATAATATATACAATCACACAAATAAAACCATACCTTGGTTGGCATACTTTATATGATTTTCATACTCTTCTGGAGGGACTTGAGTATGAAACACTGGAAGAAATGTTCCTCCATCCTCATAGTGAGAAGTATCTATTGATTTAAAAAAAAAAAAAAAAAAACTCTTGTTCAATACACATAAAATAAATAAGGAATTGTGTACATAAGAATTATATTTTTTAAAAAAAGTAGATCCAATATTCCTTAATCCCCTCAATGCACACACACAAAAAAAAACAGTGCCATAAAGCCATAGATTCCAACTCATAGTGACTCTGTAAGGCAGAACAGAACTGCCCGCATAGTGTTTCCAAGGCTATTAAGTCTATACAGAAGCAGACTGTCACATCTCCCAAGGAGCAACTGGTAGATTAAAACCACTAACCTTTTCGTCATCAGCCCAAGGCTTTAATCATGCATCACCAGAACTACAATTATGTGAATTTCTTAAAATAATGTCACTTCCAAATAGAAATGACAATCACCTTTTTATGCATGAGTTACTGAAACAAACAACAGAAGTCAAGATAGTCAACTGTATTTCTCTAGAACTTAAGTGCAAAGAGGATGTATGAGGGTGTGCTAAAATATCATATTAACTTTCCAGAGATAATGCATCCAATTCCCAATGTTCGCATTATAGACAACATGCACACTGAGTAATTGTAATTGTGTTTGTGTTGTTTTCTACTTTAGAGCCTCAAGGTTAGGCTTTGACAGTGAGATCACTGTCAGATCTTTTGTGGCTTAAAAAGATAGGAAATTGTATTTTTCTCTTTTTTTTTTCTGCTGCTTGTTTCAATGAAATTTATTTTTATATTCTTCTATTAGCTGACTTCCATACTGTATATTTGCAAGAAATGCCCTTCTACATACACTTAATGTGAGAGAATCTGCCAGGCTGTGGCACAGATATCATTTTGCTTCAGAAAACATGACAACTCTTCTAAATGTTACAGAATTCATGACCTATGGAAACAAACTTGGATCAAGCTCAGTCAGGGAGCAAGTAGAGATACATTCATCCTCAACTCACAAACATTACTAAATTCAAAATACAAAGCTTGTGATATTAAATACAAAGGCATCAATGGGCAGCATCTGGATTGACATTACAAAGTAATCTTTTTACAGTCTCTAATTGTTGTTGTTGTTATGTGCCGTTGAGTTCGACCCAACTCATAGCGACCCCTTCTTGGGTTTCCGAGGCAGTAACAGTACGGAAGTAGATTGCCCAACCTTCCTTCTGAGGAGTGGCTGGTGGGTTTGAACCACCAGCCTTCTGGTTAGCAGTCAAGTACCTTAGGCACTATGCTACCAGAGCTCCTAATCTCTAATTTGTTAATCAAATTAGTGGGGTTAGCCTTTGGTGGGGAGTTTGGGGTGGGATTAAACTACTGAAAAGAAGAAAAAGGTTTAAAGCTCTTTTGAATTTTAATTTTTGGGGTATTAAAAAAAAAAACAAACCCATTGCCAACAAGTTGATTCTGACTCATAACGACCCTATAGGACAGAGTAGAACTGCCCTATAAAGTTTTTAAGGTTGTAAATCTTCACAAAGCTGACTGCCTTATCTTTCTTCCATGGAGAGGCTGGTGAGTTCAAACCACTGACCTTTTGGTAGCAGCCAAAGACTTTAACTACTGTGTCATCAGAGCTCCTTTTTTGGGTATAGCCATTAATTATTTGTCAGCAACCTGGCAACATTTTATTATTAGTTTACATTATATCATATATTAAAAGTGTTAATATGTATTTTTTAATCTCATAGTTCCATTTTAATAGTAATCTCACTCAATTTTATACTAAAATTAGAAATAAAATAAAATAAAATAGAAAGAAAACAAATATGAAAATTTATACCACTGAAACTCTTATAGCAAGAAATATTTGGGCATTTTCAGCTTAGGGGCTTTTTCTAGCTTGAAATTATTCTTGTAAAGCTGGCTCTCCACCCATTAGCTGGTGGTATTCATTCCATCAGACAGAGGTAGACACAACCTAGAACAAAGACCTCATAGCTCAGCTTTGAATTTCAAAGACAATAGTTGTGAAAGCCAGGCATTTGATTGCAAGAGCTTAAACCCTTAAGAAAGAATTTTCTGAATTCCAAGCCTCTCTTTTGAAAGCTTTTACTTACAGTTAAAAAAAAAAAAAAAAACTCATTAATGTAGATGAAATTAGAATACATTTTTGTAAACATGTTAATAACTGATTCAGGTAAGAATCATAAATGGATGATAAAACTTGTGGGTGAAAGTTTGAAGAATAACAGGGTAAGAGCCTTAAATTTGCCACAAAGCCACAAGGTTACTTATTAATTACAAAAGGAAAAATAGTAACTTTATCGAGGTAAAATCTAACAGACACTAGCTTAACTGAATTGGTGTCACCAATAATGGGAAAGATTGTGTTCATGCACTTCATGGCTACTTGATACGATACATTGAGAAGAACATAATATCACTTCTATGGAATTTGTGCCAAAAATTCCTGAATCTAATCGTGTTGAAACACTGACAAACCCAAAATGGATTTATTCTACAGAATAACAGGTTTCTAGTTTGCAAAAATGTCAATGTGATACAACAGAAAGAAGACTAACAAAAGACATGTGACAAGGGATCGGCGCAGGGGATCCTGGGCAGAGTGGAGAACAATGCGGAACAAAACTCAAAATCATAAAAAAGTCCAGGCTTGCTGGTCTGATAGAGCCTGGTGAAACCTCAAAGACTATGGGCGCTAGTTAGTCTTCAGGCCTGGAATCGAGCACACTCCCGTGACTTCAGCCAAACAATAGACAGGCATATAGGGTGAACATTTATACCAGGTAGATACGCTCCTTAGAACAATTAACCATGGAAGAACAGAAAGGCAGTCTTTGCACAGGGAGACAGCTCTGGAGGCAGGAATGCATAAGAAAGAAGCACACAGGGAAGAGGTAACTACAGGGAGGAAGTGGAAGAGAGCTGTTAAATTGTGGGGACTGCAGTCAATGTCATGGAACAAAAGGTGTATGAACTGCTGTATGGAAAATGAATTTGCTCCCTAAACTTTCACCCAAATCACAATAAAAATTTTAAAAATGAATAAATAAAGAGACGTGACAACTAAATGCAACATTTGACCCAGGATTTTCTTTTGCTATGACAGTATTGTAGCAATATTTATTTCCTGCTGTGTGTGTATGTGTATGTGTGCATGTATGTTATGAGAGTTTAAAATCAGAGGCACTTGATGTGTGTAAATAGAGCAGTCTGAAAGCAGAGCCTTGATTCCATTTTTAAGTCTTGACAGGAGTCTAGAATTCATGTTGAATTTTAAAGCCGCCTTTTCTAACAGCAGTTCTCTAACTTGGATGTTGATCTAACCTTGATGCTGACCACATATCCTAAAAGGAGATACCCTTTTTTTCTGAGGTCTGGCATGTGCAGGATATCACAATCTATTCTCAGAGGGTCTTTCCACTACGGTCAAATAGATGCAAGACACAATACCTTCTACCTGAAAGGTCGCGATGCAAAGTGTTATCAATAAATCTTTACAATGGATCTCCAGAAACAGACATAATTGAAAAATTTCTATGGCAGGTTATCCAAAGAACAGTCCTGCCATTGTCCTGTGACCACCCTGTAATGAATTGAAGAGCATGTACGCTTGCAATTACACACCCTTAACCAATCATGAAACTCCACATATACATTATCCACCTATTCCTCCTAAATCCTTGCTCTTAGGTATCTTATCTTTGACTCACAATTGTCTTTTAGCCAGTTATGATTTTGTAATTTTCCATTCCTGCCCCAACTATACAAAAATGTTTTCTTCCTCGATGTCTGATTAAGCAGCCATTTTCCCTCTGAATGTGGACATCTTTCCAGTCTGGACCATCTCTGTCCCTCAAAACACCTCTTTTGCTTGTACTTAAGCAGACTTCCATGATGTTGCTCTATGACAGTGTGGGTGGAGAAAGAGAGCTTACCAATATGGTAAAATGTTAACGTTTGGAGAATCTGAGCAAAGGGTATTTGAGAATTCTTTGTACTTTTCTTGCAATTTCATTTTAAATCTAAAATTGTATCAAAACAAAAAATTAATAGTAAAATTTAAAAATTCCTCTTCTCACTACAAACCTAAGAAACATTTACCTGAAAAAAAGAAACTCCTTGTATAGATCAAGAGTCAGAGCTTAGAGGACCAAGTACAGAGTTTTTAATAAGAACTCTAGAAGATGAAGGATGTAATTTAAGGAGTTTCCTGCCATCCAGGGAAGATATAAAAGCCCATCCCAGATAAGGAAAAGGACCTAGAAAAATGTCAGAGTGTATGCACTTAGAGCAGACACAAGTGACATCAGTATGAAGCTCGTAGGCATACATCCTCTTAGCGGTTAAATCCTGGAGTTGAATAGAGATCCAAAAAGGATGGGGAAATCCAGAGCAAAGTGGACTCTGCCCCACTGCACACCTGGAATTCTGGGAGAAGACTCCACACAGGGTACTCCACACCTAGTCAGGACAGCAATGGCAGTGTAGCATGTTTAGAGGGAGACCAAACCAAAACCAGTTTTTTGCCATCAAGTCAATCTGACTCATGAAGACCTCATGATCGCACACAGACATGTAATTCCTCATGCCTGGCTAATGGCATGGAAAAAATTCAGGAATTCCCAGATATTCCCAAATACTAGAAGCAGCCTGAGGTCCTGATGAGGAGGGTAGGGGTAGAGTACAATACCTCACAACCAGAGAGGATGGGAACATCAGGACTGTGTTGTTGGCAGATGCCAAAAAGTTAAATGGGACTAGCTACAAGTCAGACTAGCTCACATCCGCAGACCAAGCAGGAAGAGATACTTCCAGGGCAATAGCAAGGACTACAAGCCATGATGCTACATAAGCTTCCGCCTGAGCCCAGATATCATCCTGAGAAAAGGAAAGGAGAAGAGGAGGGAAAGAAACCCTGAATACACATTTACCTAAAAGAAACTGAGATACCTGAAAGATACTGTTTTAAACTAGAAATTACCAACCTTGAATGTTTTTCCCTTCTGCAGAGTGGAAATGGAGGCTCATCAGTAAACTGAGTTCAGA